CGAGGGGACGCAGCCTGGAGCGGGCTGCTCCTGAGGGACTGTACCCCGTGGGAGGGGCCCACACTGGAGCAGTTCATGAGGAACTGCAGCCTGTGGGAAGGGCTCACGTTAGAGAGGTTCTTAGAGGACTGTCTCCCATGGGAGGGACCCTGTGCTGGAGTAGGGGCAGTGTGAGGATTCTCGCCTGAGAAGGAAGGAACTGCAGAGACAGCATGTGATGGACTGACCACAACCTCCATTCCCTGTCCCTCTGCACTGCTGATGGGGAGGAGGTAGAGAAAATTGTGAGTGAAGCTGAGCTCGGAAAAAGGGAGGGGTGGGGGGGAAGGAGTTTTAAGATTTTTTTTTTTTATTTTTTCATAGTTTTAAGATTTTTTTTTTTTAATATTTCATTATTCTACTCTGATTTTGATTGGTAATAAAGTAATATCCCCAAGCTGAGTCTGTTTTGCCCGTGATGGTAACTGGTGAGTGAGCCCTCCCTGCCCTTATCTTGACCCATGAGCCTTTTGTTGTTCTTTCTCTCCCCTGCCCAGCTGAGGAGGGCAGTGACAGAGAGGCTTTGGGGGCACCTGGCCTCCAGCCAGGGTCAACACACCACACAAGGTGATGACTTGACAAACAAGTGAGCTGTTAAATTTTCCAGTGTTACATGCTGTTTTGGCTGCACTATTCATAAAATGGTTTCTTTTCCTTCTATAGTTACTGGGTGTATGACAGCTTTCTCAGAAATTTTGGATTATACTGCATTGCCCTTCTTAAGAATTTTTTACTGCTTATTGCAAGAATAGTCTTGTTGATAGTGCTAAGAAAGAATTAGGTGAAACTGGAATATATATCTTCTCCACAGATCTGTCTTTAATATTGTTGGATTGCTCTAACTAGAGAAGCTGGATAATAAGCCCTTGATAATTAAACTCTCTTTAAAGATGTATACTATTCCCATCTATTTATCTTCAACTGTGGTTTAAAATGTATTAACAGCAATGGGTAAGAAAGAGGAAAAACAATAATAAATTGTGCCGATAATGTGTTCTTCTTCACAGAATTTATTATTTCTCTGACTGCATCTGATGAATTCCTTATAAACAGAATAATAAATCTGCCAGAGAAAATTGTTGCTGGAACTCACTATAGCCAGGACCTGTTCCTGCCATTGCTGAATCTCTTCAGAGAGTTAAACACAGATGATAAGACTGTTCTCAACTATTTTGATGAACTTGAAATACATCCTCACTTTATTGGTATGAAATAATAAAATTAGTTGACAAAATTTTTATTGATGCAAATTTAACACTTGCGAAGATGATACAGTGAATGTACATATATACAGTATTTTAAATTAACATGCAGAACATATATACAACAAGCATTTAATTATATACTTGCAAAAATATCTGTATACTCACAAGGATTCCGAATTGTTCTCTCACAGTTAACCTGTTCTAAAAAACAGGAGGTTTAATTTTTCTTTTTTGTAGGCTAAATGATGAAAGTACTTCTCTGACTTAGGCTACAGACCTCTACACAGATCCATAAAATTAAGTAGCATCAGACTTAAGCAGAGAAACAACTGCTCTTTCAGACATATTCTGAAGGAATTTAGTGGGAAGTGGTTCAAAATTTGTGCTTGATTTGTTAAATATTGACTTAAATTAATCAAATCTTTTTTCCACCTTAATTTTAGAAAATCATTATATATGGCTTTATGAATTGCTTTTAAGATTATTATTTTCTGAGTCTGAAATATAATTAGTACCAAAGAGTGGGCTTCAAGATTCTGGAAACCCTACTTTGCTACAGTGACTCACTGCATGGAGTCTGCAAGTCAGTTATCTTGTGTCTTGTTTCCCTCATCTGCAAATTGGGGATGGTGAGACAGGCATGTTAATCATCTACAAAAAGGCGTGTTAAAATTTGTAACAGCAATTTCCTTTGAAGAACCTAAATTATGAAATGTTCTGGTGATCTTTCCTCTCAGCGTCAGTGCCAACTTCATTTTTTTTATTTAAATGGTATTTAATTTTGAGGATAAATGTAGTTAATTATGATTGCTGTAATATTTGCATTGTAATCTTGCTTGGCCATCTAAGAAAAAAATGCTGTCTCTGTCACCTGAAATTCAATGCTGAGAGTGTTCTCAATACTTTAAATGACTAGAAAAGTGGCTTGCACTGTAATTTGTATATCCAGGTGCAGCTAAAATTGCAGAAAAAATGGACTGCTTGACAAAGAAGTGAAAAAGAAGGTCTTGCTTAGTCTCTATGTTCCTACATGAAGCTACAGCTTTGTTTTGTAGATATAACACAGTAAGAGTCAAACTACAGGTGGGTCCATGTCTTGGTAAATCTGTATGAGCGAAAACCTTGGTTGTTGCCAAATCCTGAGAACCTATTGTGTAACCTGTGGGGGAGACAGGGTTAAAAGCTGATGGTTTTATACATCTGGATAAGTTGACATAAGATTGGTGACAGGAACATCAACAAACCTTTAGATGAAAGAAGTAAAGACAATCAGATGTAGATAACTTCATTCTGTGTAGCAAAAAACCCCCGAGACATTTATAAGCAACTGAAACCAACATCTTACACTTGAAAATTCAAGAAATGTGAACACTATGTATTTTTAGGTCTTGCAGTTATTTACTGATGTCGACTGAGAGTTGACAAAAGCCTTGAAAAGTTCTCTCTTGTATTGTTTAAAAGATGTAGCCAAACTTGAAGATCCTGAGAACAGATTTATTGTAAAAGAGATCATCAAAGAAATTGGGGAACCTCAGAATTACTGTTTGACAGATGAAGAAAAGGAGAACCTGGAACGCAAAGCAGCTGAGGAATGGCTTGTCAAAGAAGCTCAAGAAAAAGCTGAACAAGAGCGTAAAGAAGCTGAGGAGAGGGCTGAAAGGATCGCAAAGTGGGAAGAGTGGGTAGGTGAATATATATTTTTTGGAAACAGTATTTATGTGTTTTAGATGGCTTCCAGCAATCTGTTATGTAAATACACTTGGAAACCTGTATCATAAATTCCTTAATCATACTTCAGATCTGGGTTAGATGATTTTCACAGTGCATTTTGAGGCTCAGCCTAAAGAACAGTTTCTTTTTGATAACACACATAGCAGTGTTTTTTTGCATGTTGGTATCAGCATGTCTTTAAAATACTTTTATGATAGTCTTCTTGTTGTTGCCATGGTGTAGCTCTTTTATTTTACCATTTATAAACATCTGCTACAATCAATGGTGCTTTTCCATAATCAATCTTCTAGGACTTTTGCATTCTGCAACTCCCAGTTGTTTTATCCCCTCCTTTCCCCCATACTTTTTGAGTGTAATCATTGTATTTGATTTAACCTGAATTCAAGAATACATTTGCTGGTGTAAACAGATGTAATTCACTGTGCATTTAGTTTATTTAACTCTAGTTCCCCTCAAAAATTGACATAAATTAAATAAAACCAAACCCAAAACAACCAACCAAACAAACCCCAACACAATTTACAGTTATTTAGACAGTCAGAGCTCTCTTCTCAGTAAATGTATTCTCATTCCCCTGCACTTCAAACAAAACCTCATGAAACCATCTGCATTTGCAACAGATTAATTTTTGAAGGGATATTGTGTGTTTGAACCATTTTGCCAAATAACTTATGGAAACAGGACCACTAGAAGATTTCAGAATAAACCTCCTTTTAGAGGATTTAAAAGAGTGATAAAGGAAATAATTTTACTAGGGAGATTATTTCAATTTTTATCACATTCAATTCTTTGTCCTCAGTGTGCTGTGAACTCTAGATTTAATAAGCAGTTCATAGTGTTTCCTGACAAATTGTGAGTTTTAAAGGTCTGTCCACAGCTTCGAACACTATTTGTTTCTCTAGACCACCATTATAAGTTAGTCAAGTGCTATTTTGTAGATGTTACAAACCTTTTTCTTTATGATTTTGTTCATTACTCATAGAATGAACATCTAGAGGAGGTGAAAAGACAAGAACAAGAGTTATTGGAGGCCGAGTCCATTCCACTACAAAACTATTTGATGAAGAATGTCATGCCAACACTTCTGCAAGGGATAAATGAATGCTGTAGGATCAGGCCAGATGATCCAATTGATTTTCTGGTAAGGTGATTACCTCTTTTTTCTTATATATGTTTGGAAAAGATTAATGAAAATATTTATGTAGACACAAAGCATCTCTGTTAACAAAAGGACTTAAATTCCTGCCCCTCCTCCCCCCGCCCGCCCTCGGCCTTGATAAAAATTAGTTAATGCATAGTATCTGCAATTCTGGTGAGCAGTAATTGTGAAAGCTGACGGCCCGGCAACTACTCTTTATGGGATCAGTTGATACCATGTATCAAGTAAGGGCATAATTCAGCTTTTATAAATAGTAACAGGAGAAGAATCACTACCAGAATCCGGTTCTCTTTGATGCGTGCACTCCACATGTTGTATGCACCCTGACAATTCTGCTGTGACTTGGAGGCCTGCAGAAAGGGGTGCATCACTCCCCATCCTGCTTACACCCCTCCAGGCACAACAGAACACGCTACTGTGGTGATGAATGAAAGCTCTTCTGTCATCCCTTCACAATACACAGATAAATTAAAGAGTAAATCTTATAAGGCATTCATACACTAATTCCAGTTGTGAAGGACCTCAAGAAGTTATCTAGTTCAGTTTTTGGCTGAAAGCAAGGTCAGCATTGCATTGACAAGAATTCAGATGCTGTAAAGTCATTACTGTACTGCTGTTGTTCCTGCACCTCCTAAGGAAGTTATTAACAAAGTATCACTATTTGAATGAAAAGAAACATTGGATTTAAATGAAAGCATCAGTGTTGCATTCCACTTTAGGGACTGAGGAATGTTGAATTGCTTTTACCTTTTTGCTTACTGATGCGTGACAAGTACCTGCAGCTGTAGAAGCATGAGGTCTTCCCTACCAGCTGCGTAACTTCCAAAGACCGGCGTTGTCTGCTCTTCTGGGTCCAGCAATCAGGCCTCAGAGTCCTCCCTAGGATCTTCCGTGGAGTGGCAAATATTGCGATAAATAGCTTCCTTCTCTTGCCTGTGATAGGGAGGGGGTGACTTTGTTGTGGATGCCCCATCCCTGGATGTCTTCAAGGCCAGGCTGGATGTGGCTCTGAGCAACCTGGTCTAGTGCAAGGTGTCCCTGCCCATGGCAGGGGGGTTGGAACTAGATGATCTTTAAGGTCCCTTCCAACCCAAACCATTCTATGATTCTATGACTGCTACTGAGAGGGAGAATGAAGTGGATGGTATTTTGGATGATATCTGTGGGGAAGAGTTTTTTCTGACATATCTGCCAGAAATTAAATTTTAGAGCCATTTAGTATTTTCTGTGATTTTGTTTAAAGCAATGGAGCCTTGAAAATAACTTTGAAACTCTTCTGTTTATAGGCAGAATATATCTTCAAGAACAGTCCTAATATCGAATGGGATAAACATTAAGTCCTAAGAGCTGTTGAAATTGTGAAGCAGAAAGGGAGAACATTCCTAATGCATTTTCAAGAAAAACATTTAGTTTCTGAAACTCTTTTTGTTTAGGTTTACTATGTAATCTCCATTTTTATGTCTCATACTATGTTGTATTGAGCTTTTGTTATTCCTTCTACAAAAGTACCATTTACCGCACATATTAATACATTTATGCATCTGCATTTCATACGTCTGAAACTATGAACTATAAGAATCTGTTCTCCCCCCAACATTTTCTTCCTGGATTTTTTTCAGTTACACGTGCTGTTTAAGCAATAAGTAGAATCACAGTGCCCTGATCCACAGCACATGAAGGCAGCCAGCCTGAGAAAAATCTGTCTTAAAAACAAACAAACAAACAAAACCCTGAAAATGGGAATAAGTAGAAGCAGCAAGCTGTCTGATTTCAGCCCCCAGCTACCAAGAGCCAAAAAGTCACACAACATAGTCTTCTTGTGCTGCACTGAAAACTGACTGGTAAACAATTTCCCAGCACAGGTATGTCAGAAAGCCTGGGTTTTTCTTTGGATTCAAACAAATGGGTGTAGTTCGCATTTAATTCTCTTCATCATTCAATATTTGATACATGCTTTTTATAGATTCTTGAAGAACCTGGGCTTTCCAGCATGTGGCTGTCATTCCCGTTTTTATTGACTTCATACACCTTTCATAGAAACTGCCACTATGCTGACAGAGCTGGAACTGAGAGTATATTTGGTGTTAAACAAATACAGGATTTTGTCAAAACAGGAAGCAAGGACTGTTTGGGAGAAGGGGGGTGGGGGAAAGAGAGGAAGAACTGAAAGAATGGTGAGTCAGAAACATTTTACACTTATTTTATCTATTACTTTTAGTATTACAATTTTAGATGTATTAATACCCAACCTGCTTATTCAGATATATTCATATTATTACAGAGAAACAATCCTCTTTAATCTGTTTTCACAGCCACACCACCAAGGCAGTGGTGATAGGAACAGAGTTCAGAACCATCATCTCCTACTCCATTAGGATCTGTATTTCCTATGTGCTGTCTGCCCAAGTTATCATTTATATGTGAGGCAGCTGAAAATGAAATAATCGGTAATTTTAGGGAAATTTGTAAGTTTGAGTCCTATGTTTCATAGCGAACTTTAAAATAGTACACTAAAAAAGATAAAATGGGGTTTTTTGTGTGTGTGTGTAGAGTTGCTGTAATACATTTACGTTTTTAAGAATAAAGTTTTGTGCTGATAAGTGAAGAGTGTGAGGTTTTTTTTCATTACAACTTTCTGAAACGTATACAGTTTGTTATAGGCCTAGTTTTCAAAACTGATTATTAGAAAGGGATCTTTCGGCTCTGCGCCGGGCATAATTAGGGGAACGAAAGCAGCCCGATGCAGGCCGGTACGAACTGAAGACAGGCTCAGAGGAAGTTTGGGACCGAAACGCTTCGTTTTCCGGAGGAGCAGGGCGATCCGATCGCTGCCCCCGCCGAGCCTCCCCAGGGGCTCCCTCCGCCCCCGAAGCGGCGAAC